CCCCAGTGCTCCTCATGGGGTCACCTGCTCTTGGTTTTATCCTCTCAGGAGCAGACGGACACCAGCCCAGCTGGCTCTGACTGGAGTTTGCACAGAAAGTGGCAGGTTGATGGGAGAGAAACCTCCAGCTGGGGACAGTGACAAGCACCTGAGAGAGAAGAACCTCTTTCCCCAGCACAGCTGGATTTGGTTGAGGATGTTTCTCTTCGAGGGAGTGGGTTTGAATGGCAATTCATTAGATACACGGACCTCTGCCACCATCTCTGCGGCAGGGGACTGGGAGCAGAGGAGATGCTGATGAGGGTAAACCTAGAGCCAGCTGAGCTCTGTGGAGCAGGAAATGTTCACTTTGTATTTCACGTTAAGCCAGAGATCCCCGAGCTTTCAGCTCAGCAGCACTGCAGCCCCATGGACAAGCATGTACCAAGGGCCTTGGGCTCAGGTGACGTGAGCTGCCACACAAGCAGCCATGGTGCTCTCCATCCAAGGGGGACATTTGCATTTTCATCTCTGCTGGCTGCATTTTCCAAGTGTGAGACAGGCCTGGGTAGCCCCAATCATGGCCCGTTTCAGGTGCCACAGGGACCAGAGCACATCGATGGTCCTGCTTACGGGGGAAGGTGAAGTCCCTCGGTGTGAGCAGCCCTGGGAGAGGCAGGAGTTTGTGGGGTGGGAGCAGGCTGGGAGCACTTACAGATCTGGGTTTTCACATCAGAGATACCCAAAGTACAAACTGATGCACAGGACGAGGGCTCAGCTTCACTTTTCACACTCTCTGGTGAGTGCGTTTACCTATTTAACTCAATGCCTGGACTTGTAAGAGACCAACTTTCTGGCAAAACTTCCCACCAGCACCCAAAGAGGTGTAAAGCCTCTACTCCCTGTTCTCAAGTGCCACATGCATGTCGCCACAGCACCAGTGTCCCTGGGACATTGTGCCTGGGGGCGATGGAGCAGCCGTGGAAGCCGATGGTCCCATCAGCAGGAATCTCAGCGCTGTGGTCTGCCAGGTTTCACACCACCACAGCGGTGACTCCCAACACAGGAGGACCCAATCCCGGCACCATCAGGCTCCTGAAAACGTAGGTGATTTTATTTTGCTAATGCTGTTGAAAGACAGGGCAGTTCCAATTTGCCCGGAGCTGCTCAGTTGTAACATGGCACCACGGGGAAAGGCTCTACAGAAAACCACATTTGACAGTGAAAGCTTCTTGCTGGAGCGCAGCATGAGAAAAACAAATTACTGTGGCATAAACGAGCAAATCCATCATCAGAGGGAAGAGGAGGAGAGAATTGGTTTAAGGATCCACGTACGAGACTGTGACAGTAATCATATAACGGCCCTTTAAATGTCAAGGGGGATGAACGTGGTTTAACAGCAACAGAAACGCTGCCGAGCTGGGTGACGTGTAACAAAGCAGGCGGATGGATAGATCTACCTATTATCTGCTCCCTGGAAAAAAAAAGGAGAGGGAGATAATTCAGGTTTATGCTTGATCTAGTGTGTAAATCTCAGAGAGGTAATGTTTTCTGTTGTCAAAAAGGAGGAAAAAAAAAAGAAAAAAAAAGAAGAATTAGCTTGTTTTCAGAGCTGTCCCTGCCATCACCCGGACAGCGTGGGTTCAGCTGTACAAACGAGATACACAACATTTGAGGCTGGCTGCAGCCCCGGCAGGGTGACACCGAGGAAAAATTGAAGGATGGGGGGGTGTGGAAGCTGATCAGTGGGTGCTGGGCAGCTGCATGGTCCCGCGGCTCCTTTCAGCAGCGCCGAGATGAAGAAGGGAGACAAAAGAAGGTGTGTGAGGGGAAGGGGACACGGCAAAGGCAGCAGGTCGCAGCGTTGGTTGTGAAATGCTTTTGCTTTCAGGCTCGGCACACGCGTGTCCTTGTGCCACCCTGGTGTCCTGCCCACAGGGAAGGGGGTGTCTGCCTGCACCTCTCTGCCGGGCTGGTGGGGAGCAAGGTTGTGAGGGTCTGGGAGCCCCTCTCACTCAGCTGGGAAAGCCCATCTCTTTTTTTTGAGGGTGCCCAAGGTGCCTGCCCCAGCCTGGCTGGTTCATCAGGTCTGCCAGGAGCCTCCTGTGGCCACTGCATGCCAGCTCTTGGGGTCCAGCCTCAGGCAGACTGGCTGCGGGGCTCTCCCTCTGTGCTCTGGGCACCTTCTGGCACCACTAAAGGATTTCACTCTAATAAGAAGAAAAAAAAAACCCTATTGAGCATCATCACTAAAGGATTTCACTCTAATAATAAAGAAAAAAAAACCTACTGAGCATCACCACATCCAACATCCCACCAGCAACACAGGAAAACCTGGGCTGCGCTGAGAGAGAGACCAATGTCCCTCGGCTTGTGACCACTGGCTGAGGGGCAGAAAGGGCTTTGTATCCCGCAAAAGCGCAGAAGCAGGTTTTGCAAAAGCGATCGCCTCAAATCTGCGGGTTATTTGTGTTTTCATTCATCCCTTCGCATCACAAGCCTGCGTGCAAAATGAGGATCACGACCTCTGATTTCACGGGGACTGGAAAGACGTTCCTCGCTGTTTGTAAAACACTCTGCCTGGCTGTTTACAGCCACCAGAAGGAAAAAAAAAAAAAAACACAAGGAAATGAAGAGTTTAGTATTCAGAGCAGGCTCCCAGCCGCGCGCAGGAGGCACAGCACACCCAGTAATGGGAAAGCAGAGCGTTGAATTACCTGCTCAGGCGGCGGGGCTGATCTGCCCTCGCAGGCGTGGGGCCAGGCTGGCGGGACCACGAGTTGTCACCGTGTCACTCAAGCCCCTTGCTTGAACACGAGAGGCCACGGGGAGGTTTTCTGGGCAACCTGAAAGCCAGCGTTTGCTCGCAGTGAGGTGCTTGGCTTTGCCAGCTGCTCTTTTTGTCCAGGTTTTGCATGTCTGATAGGGATCTGTATGTATATTTTATAAAAGGTCTGCTAAAATGTGTTATTGCAGAAATAAAGCTAAGAGCTTATTCATTTTTAATGAGCCATCGGGGAGAAAGCTATTGCATGTGTGTTGTAGTGTTTTTTCTTCTGTTGGGCTGGTTATACTGAAGTGCCTTGGGGGGAAATTTGTGATTAAATTACACGAGTGAGATGCCTTTATTCACACTGAAAAGCCCCTCTCGCTCAGCCAGGAACGGAGCTCTTGGAGCCACTGAAAGTGAAGCACAATTCATGGAATCACAGAACAGTTTGGGTTGGAAGACCATCCAGTTCCAACCCCCCTGCCCTGGGCAGGGACACCTCCCACCAGACCAGGTTGCTCAAAGCCCCATCCAGCCTGGCCTTGAACCCCTCCAGGGATGGGGCAGCCACAGCTTCTCTGGGCAACCTGGGCCACCCTCAAGGAAAAATTTCTTCCCGAGACCTCATCTAAATCTCCCCTCTTTCAGTCTGAAGCCATTACTCCTTGCCCTGTCACTAGATGCCCTCGTAAAAAGTCCCTCTCTATTACCCCTTGCCCTATCACTAGATGCCCTCGTAAAAAGTCCCTCTCCAGTTTCCCTGGAGCCCCTTCAGGGACTGGAAGGGGCCTCAAGAGCCCCTTGAGGGACTGGAAGGGGCTCTAAGGTCTCCCTGGAGCCTTCTCTTCTCCAGGCTGAACCCCCCAACTCTCTCAGCCTGTCCTCACAGCAGAGGGGCTCCAGCCCTCAGAGCTTATTCATGGCTTCCTCTGGACGCACTCCAACAGGTCCATGTCCTCCTCATGCTGGTGTCCCCAGAGCTGGACACAGTGCTCCGGGGGGGGGGGGTCTCCCCAGAGTGGAGCAGAGGGGGAGAATCCCCCCCCCTCACCCTCTGGCCACGCTGCTGGGGATGCAGCCCAGGACACTCCAACAGGTCCACGTCCTCCTCACGCTGGTACCCCCAGAGCTGGACATAGTGCTTCAGGGAAGGTTTCCCCCCCTCGCCCTCTGGCCAAGCTGCTGGGGATGCAGCCCAGGGTGCGGGGGGCTTTGCGGGCTGGAGCTTCTCCTCCACCAACAGCCCCAAGCGCTTTGCGGGCTGTAAGCATGCATTGCCACCTCACGTGGAGCTTCTCCTCCACCAACAGCCCCAAGCCCTTCTCCTCAGGGCTGCTCTCCAGCCTGGATTCCTGCCGGGGGTCGCCCCGGCCTGCACTGGGCCTTGCTTGCACTCCATGGGGGTGGCACAGTCTCCCCCTCCAGCCCACCCAGATCCCCCTGGATGGCATCCCTTCCCTCCAGCGTGTCCAACGCTCCACACAACGTCAACAGGCGACCCCAAAACCCACCGGAAAAAAAAAAAAAAATCGATCAAAATACTGATTTACTCCATATTAACGCAGCTCTGGCCAAGAGCAGCCTCTGACCCCCCTGCCTGCAGAGCTATGCCTTGCCGACGCTGCCCTGCCCCCGGGGCACTCGCCACCCGGCGACCCACCCGCAACGCCGCCCTCAGGCCGGGCTCGGGCCCCGCCGGTTGCCATAGCGACGCGGGCCAGGCCGCCACGGGCTGTCGCTGGCCCTTTAAGGCAGCGCTTGGAGGACCGCGGGAGGCCGGAAGTGCTTCTCCGGCCGCTCTGGCCTCGCTCCGTCTCGGTGGTCTTCCGGCTCTTCTGCTTCCGGCTGTGCGGGGCCTCGTGGTGGGCGGCCGGGCCGGGGGGCTCGGGGGGACGCTG